TATAAAAGGAATGAGCAATTACCGATTTGTAACCATTTTGATATCCTTCATTTTTAATTAATTACAAATATGCCACAATTGATATCATTCATAAATTATAATAATCAAGAGTCAAAATTGGTTCACAAAGTTAACATCAATTATTGGGTTAACAAAAGAACTTGTCCATATGTATATATATATAGAGGGTGATTCAAATACTAACCCATTTTTTTGTGTTAACTCTACTAACCAACATCAACCAATCACATTCTTTCTTTACTTTATGTTCAAATGTAACTTATAAATTGAATACAAKGGTCATTTTGTAATTTGACCTTTATGTAACTCCCTATTAATTATTTGGGAGTTACAAATCTTCTAAGATCCATCTAATTGATCATGAGGTAATTCCGATGTTCACGGTGTTCATRGTGTTCATATCCATGTAATGTCCATGAACATTCACCGTGTTCATATAAATGTTCACCGTGTTCATGCGATGTTTTTACAAAAGTACCCTCTGAACCGTTGTTCATAAGCATCTCAATTAATATATTAATTAAATGATTATTTTTATAGTCTCATTTAATAAGGATCGTTTGATGAAAAAATGAACGATCAAGATCGGGTTAACATAGTTTGCACAATAGTTTTGGTTAGTATTTGAACCAGCCCCTATATATATAGATATATATATATATATTGTGTATATATATATTGTGTGTATATATGTTTCCTTTTAGAAAAAAACCACTAAAAATGGAAGACGAAAGAACTACGAAAAAAATAGATGAAAAACAAGATTAGTGTAAATTCTTCTTTGAACCTCCCTATTATATTATATGGGGCTAATTATGTGAGAACCAATGCATCATGTATTAGTTTACATGGTTTTTTCCATCTAAGACTAGAATTTAAGATATTGTATCTTGGGTCTCCCTTAACCGTTCAGTACCCTACTTTCATTCTGAACAATTACCAAACAATTATATTTCATTTTGCACTATATCATAAGAGTCTATTTATTACTCTAATCACTTAATTATTATATACCAAATTATTCAGCAACCGCCAAACACTACCTCATATTAAAATATTAACGTGTTTGAGGATGTTAATTTAGGTGAAACACTTCAAACAAAAAAGGTGTATACATAATCCCAATATTATATATATATATATATATATTGTTGGGATATATATATATATATATATATATATATATATAAAGAGAGAGAGAGAATAATAATTGACCTTTTGAATTATGAAACACCATTTTTGTTTGTCAAATTTCCAAAAACCCATCATGGTTTGTAGTAATTAGCAATTTCGTGAGCATAAAGGAAAGGATTGTTTACTTTTTAATAGTTTTATTAAGAGGTAGTTTCTGAATCGTTAAGAGATGAATTTTTGTTTGGCCAAAAAAAAGTCTGTCTTTTAATGGATTTAAAACCATCTGAATGATTTTGTATCATGAACATCCTTAACCATTCAACACCCTAATTTCATTATAAACAAATATCAAACAATTATAATTCATTTTGCACTATATTATGAGAGTCTCTTAATCATTATGACCACTTAATCATTTTGCACCAAGTCATTCAACAAAAAAAGTTAAAAAATTCCTTGAAATGAACAAAAAAAAGCTTAAATTTTTTCTCGATATCAACCAAAAAACCGAAAAAAAAACTCCTCATAAAAATAGAATTCCGTTAAAAAACGTATCAAACAAATTTTGAGGACATTTGATCCATTTAAAGGTGCACCGACTCGATAAAAATCCTGATCCATCACTATTTTTTTATTAACTTGGATATCCAACCCGCTATGCAAGCCGACTAATCTCAGAGCGACCACCTGCTTTGCAGATAGTCCGGAGTCACCGCATTTGAACCTCCGTGGTCACAAGGGGAATTTTTATTTCTTCTTGGATTTGAACATGAGACCTACTGTTACTTTTGACCTTTGGAGTCAAGCTCAAACCAATCAGACACCACCCTTATCAATAAGAACTTCTTAAATATTAATGCCAAAAAGTCGATACATTTTAGATTTACAATGAAATATCATTATATTATTAGAGGCATTAAAATAAACCATATAATACTTTTATCTCAAAATCAGTGTCTACATTAATATTTCTAGTTTGTCTTAAAATAAATGTCCATTTTTAAAATTAAAATATCTGGTTTCCTACTTTACCTCTAATTATAAGACAGAATAAATTTCTCTCTTAAGAATTAAATGTAATTTTATCATTTTTTTAATTAAAAAAAATGCAATAACTACATTTTTAAAATTATATATTTTTTATTATATGTTATAGAATAACTGAAAAAGAACAGTAATAGAATAAAAAAAAGAAATATGTAATTCTCATTAATCATAAGTTTTTTTTATAAGAATGAGTTATAAGTAAATAACTACGAGATATTTCACTTCTATTATAACTCTGCTATATTTTTATCTTAATATCTTTTAGACGATGACACACTTATCCTACAACATAGTAAACATTTATTTTAAAAACGGTTACAAACCTTAGCCCATTTCAATGACATGACACACCTAATTTAAACCTTAACATATTTAAATCATCAAGTACATGAAAATTCCAACCATAGAATTTTAATATTTAATTTTAATAATACATTTAAATCAATTTAATAAATATAATAATAAAATATAAAAATAACATTTATGATTTCTAGATGCAACGAACGTGTCAAGTACCGTTCACATGGTGCATTTATATGCTAACTTTTTGACGACGTCATGATTACATCTGACTTGACGTCACCAAATTTTTTTGAATTAATTTAAATTTAAATTGAAATTGAAATTTCTCACATTGGAATCTAAGATGGCCATGGCTTTCTCTATCTGTCTCTATATACGTTTTGTCTAATCCTCGATATTTTCTATGTATTTTTAATTAAAATATAATTCTTTTTTTTTGGGTCCCACATTATAATATATATATATATATATATGGACCTAATCAAATGAGAACTAATTAGTTTGTGGTAACTGTGAGAACCAATATTAACCACAAATCAATAGATAAATTAGGAAATTTATAATTTTGACAATTTTGAATTAAAATATTAATGCAAGGATATTTTTGTTATTTTAAAACTTTCCTCCCTCCTCTCTTCTCTCTCCGGCCACCGTCCTCCGGTGATACTACAATGGTATCACAATGCATCACATATGTGCTTGGGTATCACATTGATGTCGTTTGTGTGGTCGATCGAAGATGTAACACAGTGGTATCACTATGCATCTTATATATGATTAGGTATCACAATGTATCGATCTTTTATTTAATAGAGTCAATATTTTTAGGTATCACAGTGGTATCACCAGAGGACGGTGGCCGGAGGCCGGAGAACGGTGGCCGGAGAGAGAAGAGAGGAGAGATGAGAGTTTTAAAATACCAAAAATATCCTTGCATTAAGATTTTAATTTAAAATTACCAAATTTATAAATTTCCTAATTTATCTATTGATTTGAGGTTAATATTGGTTCTCACAGTTACCACAAACAACTCAGTTCTTCCCTTGAATAGGCCCATATATATATATATATATATATATATATATATATATATATATATCATATGTAAAACAAATAGGTACAATCATACATCATGTAATTAGGGGACTCTTTACTTAAATACTTATCCGGTAAGTGTTTATTTATAGAAGTCAATACTATAATTTATTTTGATGCATAAGATTTTAATACATCAAAACTTATCGAATGCAACAATATTTATCTGGGTAAGATTCATCATCTTCACTTACTAGATAAAGATAAGACTCTTCATCATTATCATTGCTCTTACCTGGTAAGATTCTTGACCCTTGTCGTGTTCATCAGATGATGAATTTTATCCGGTAAGTACTTACCAACTAAGCGTCTAGTAAACGGCCCTTTAAAGGTATAACGTAAGTCTTATATTGTCTGAGTTTGGATTTATGGTTATGGAGGTTTATCTGTGATCACTCGAGGTTACGGAGATTAGTCGGTAACTGGTTACCCAAAAAACGACCCTACTTCATTTAGGATTATATTTATCAGAATGTAAAGGGCTGTTTGTTAGAAGTTTCATGAGCTTAATATGACTCACTACTTTTTCAGTGAACTATACATGACTATTTTGTAGTAGCTTAATAATATAGAAAATAACTTGTTCAATAGGTTTTTAGGAGAGATTTATGCAAAATGTCAAGTTTTTTCAAAACCTACTGCTCCAAATTAAGACATGCATGCTCTTGCCATTTATGAAAGAAAACCCTCCCAAACAATTTTTTTTCTCAATTTACATACATAGATTAATTATCCACACAGACAACAAACAACTTTATTCATAAATGACTTAATGAAAAACCAACCAATTAAATAACCCATAAATCAAACAAATCTAGTATATTTTATTTGGAAGTGGGACAGAGTTTCTTGTCTCTTACATATGCTCAATTTAACAAAATTACACACCCCGGGTCTAAACTCAGTTCCTGTATTAATTATCAGTAGTTACAAGATTTACCAGTTACCATTCGATAACAACACAAAATAACAAAAAGATTTTTTTTATTAACCTAGATATCCAACCCGCTACGCGAGACGACTAATCCCAAGACGACCACCTGCTTTGCAGATAGTCCGGAGTTACCGCATTTGAACCTCCGTGGCCACAAGAGGATTTTTATTCTTTATTGGATTTGAACATGGGACCTCTAGATACTTTTGATCTTTGGAGCCAAACTCAAACTATTGTAGTTAACAAAAAGATTATTGTTATTTATAGTAATAATTTTGAAAAGTCTAAAGAGTCTCATATGGTATGTGGTTGGTCTCCTATGCTCACCTTTCTTCTTCTTACAAACACACCACCATCAAGACACACTCATATCAAAATGGCTATATATATCTCACCATCCATCTTCATTGACCTCTCAACTCTCTCTCTCTCTCTCTCTCTCTCTCTCTCTCTCTCTAGGTCTGTAATGGAAAGAACACCTCATATAGCCATTGTACCAAGTCCAGGGATGGGTCACTTGATCCCACTGGTTGAGTTTGCAAAGAGACTGCTCATCAACCACAACATCTCTGCAACTTTCATCATCCCAAATGATGGCCCTTTATCCATCTCTCAGAACGACTTTCTTGAATCACTCCCCAATGGCTTAAACCATCTGGTTCTTCCTCCTGTAAGCTTCGATGATCTCCCCCATGATGCTCGAATGGAAACCAGGATCAGTCTCATGGTCACTCGCTCTCTCCCTTCCCTTCGTGAAGCTTTCAAGCCCTTGGTTGCAGAAAAGAAAATGGTGGCGTTGTTCGTCGATCTTTTCGGCACGGATGCGTTCGATGTCGCGATCGAGTTTGGAGTTTCGCCTTACATCTTCTACCCCTCGACTGCCATGGCTTTGTCTTTGTTTCTTCATCTTCCCAAGCTTGATCAGATGGTTTCGGGTGAGTATAGGGAGTTGGCTGAACCGGTTCAGATCCCCGGCTGCATACCGATTCGCGGTCAAGACCTGTTCGACCCGATGCAAGATCGGAAGAACGACGCGTACAAATGGGCGCTTCATAATGCCAAGAGATATAGGATGGCTGAAGGGATAGCTGTGAATAGCTTCAAGGAGTTGGAGGGTGGAGCCCTGGAAGCGTTGCTGACGGAAGAGCCCGGTAAGCCGCCGGTTTATCCGGTCGGGCCGGTGATACAGACCGGTTCGAGTAGCGAGGTTAATGGGTCCGAGTGTTTGAGGTGGTTAGATGGTCAGCCATGTGGTTCGGTTTTGTATATATCTTTTGGGAGTGGTGGAACCCTTTCAAGTAACCAACTCAATGAGTTAGCCATGGGTTTGGAATTGAGTGAACAAAGGTTCTTATGGGTGGTTAGAAGTCCAAATGATCAACCAAATGCCACTTACTTTGACTCTCATGGCCACAAAGACCCTTTAGGATTTTTACCAAAAGGGTTTTTGGAAAGAACCAAAGGGAGCGGGCTTGTGGTTCCATCGTGGGCCCCACAAGCCCAGATCCTCGGCCACAGTTCAACAGGAGGGTTCCTGACCCACTGTGGATGGAACTCGATTCTCGAGACGGTAGTCCATGGCGTGCCAGTGATTGCTTGGCCGCTTTATGCCGAGCAAAAGATGAATGCGGTTTCTTTAACCGAGGGCATGAAACTGGCGCTGAGGCCGAAAACTGGGGAGAATGGGATCGTGGGTCGGGTGGAGATCGCGAGGGTCGTGAAGGGTTTGTTGGAAGGAGAAGAAGGGAAAGAAATTCGGAGTCGAGTTCGAGATATGAAAGATGCAGCCGCTAAGGTTCTGAGTAAAGACGGGTGTTCAACAAGAAACTTAGATCAATTGGCTTCCAAGTTGAAAAACAAGATTAGCAATTAAATTATCAAGCATTTAAAAATAATTATTTTAGTATTTTTTTTTTCTCTTTTGTAATAATTTATTTATTGTGAATTAAATTTGGTAAAATAAATTAAACCGAACAACGATGTTTTAATCAGAATGAAGGTCGGGATGATGAAATGCATGCATACTTGATCCTTACTTTAAAAAGTAGAACGGTTTATGTGAATAACGTGAATTTAATCTGGTGTACGTAATACAATAAAATTGGATTTACAGAATGTCAAAAATATCTACGTGTCTCAATAGACTACCTTACAGGAATTGAGTTTATAGAACCAAACAATAAAGTGTATGTTATCAAATGGTCTTTGGTCTAGCGGTATGTGAGCCTTTTGCCTTTACGTTCACCAAATGTGAGTTTATTTGTTCTATTTGTCGTATATAAACACTATATACTTAAAAGAAAAGTGTATGTTTTAACAAGATTTTTAGGACAATTTTAAAATAAAACGTCGTATTAACTATTTTGTAAACCATAACAAAATCGGATTTATAGGACACCACAAGTCTCTGAGGGGGTGTTTACCAACACTTACCCGGGTAAGTACATACCGGAAAAATTCAAAACTATCGATTATTTACCAGGTAGGATTTTAGTCCACCAAAACGGTATCGTATGCAACAACTAACCTGATAAGTGCTAAGACTTTCACTCCTTGCCTTCGCTCTTACCGGTAAGATTCTTGGTCCTTGCCATATTGATTCGGTAAGGTAATGTAATTGGTAAGCGCTTACCCAGATAAGCGTTTGGTAAACGGCCCCTAAGTGTCATGATAGCATACTTTACAAGACTTAAATTTATAACCAAACATACATATCTCCTAAATAAGAGCGTTGCAATTGGTTTATAAAACGTTTTTGGACGTATCAAATAGTTTTTTAGGACAATTTCAAACTATATTGCCATATTAATAAAATTTATACGTTAATATACATTTGAAAAAATGTATTGTAAACACAAGTGTCCTATAAAAACATGTTTACAGGACACTTATTATAAAATGTTTTATACAACACTTCTTAAAAATGTCATATAAAATATTTAATATGACACTTTATTTAAAAAATTATCAATTTAAATTTATTATAATATTTTTAAATAAAACGTTTATATTTTTATGTTAAATTATATGCGAATTAAATATATTATCCAATAATATCAATAAAAAAAGCTTTTTTAAATTAATTATTAATTAAAAAAAGGAAAAATAAAAAGCCAAATTGATAATCATGTGCATGCATTGAATCATAGGTAAATAGTCCAAAAACAATTTATTTTCATCATGGTCGTCTTCTTTTAACTTTTTCTCTTTAAAAACAGGAAAAAAACGAAAGTAAATTTATTATTATATAAAATGGGATCAGACAAAAGTCTAAGTCTACTTTGTAGCAATAAACACTATTAAGATAATTTACATTATTTTTGTTGTGAATGTTCGATTTTTTTTTATATATAATATTTTGTTGTGAAGTTTCAAGTGTAAAAATCATATCTTACGAAAACAGTCTTGTCTCATGTGAACTCAACATTATATATATAGATAGATAGATAGATAGATGGATAGATAGATAGAGAGAGGGGGGAGGTTAAGAGGG